TACTTCCGGTCTTATCCGTTTCTCGAACTCGTTATCCGGTGGAACATCCTGTTCCATAGTTAACAACACCTGTTAATTCTGAAAGTGTCTTAAATCTCTTTGCACCAGTTCGGATTTTGACGCTAATATAAAAATTAGTCTAAGGATATGTAAAATTATTTCATTCACGTAAATAATATACAAACCCTAAACTGTTATTTGCCTCAATAGTTTTGGTTTCTTTTGAGTTTGATTCTCGTTTGTTCACAACAACACCATAGACGGGGATTGAATTAAGTAGAAAAGTAAAGAAACATCAAACTTACAGGAGCTTTAGGGGTTGCTTTCTCAGATTTAGCTTCTTTCTCCGGTTCATTCTTGCTGCTTGCGGCGGTGACGCTCTCTGGTTTGGTCTCCGGTTTAACATCAGCTGCTAATTCAGCTTTTGGTTCCTGAAACAGTTAAAGAATGTTAGAATCCTCTGTTTCTAGCTAAAAGCAGAGTATACAGGGGTATACAGGGATGACCTTGGATTTGTCTTCCTTAGGGTTTTGCTTGAGCTTCTCACGACCACTTGCTTTTCCTTCTCTAAAGAGGCTGAATCCATGCGACAAACTAACCACGCAATAAAAAAAATATCTTAGTACCATTACCTGCATTGAGGTTTTCTTCTAACACAAGTTAGGGTTTTTTTATTAACCTTGTGGAAGATATAACCAGCTTTCCATTTCTGTACTCAGGATCTTTGTTGTTCATGAGATGATAGGAGAGAGCAGAGACAACAATCTCTTCAATGTAATTACTCAAAACCTTTGTATCCTCAAAAGAGATTGACTCTAGGTCGTCGCAGATAAGATCATTCTCAGACAAAACCTCCATGATATGGTTCCTATTGTCCTGAGTCTGGATCATGTTCATGTCGCGCTCAAGCTGTGATTTCCAGCTAACAAGATGGTTCTCATCATCAGGAGGTCGTATATCAATGTTATAAGGGAAAACAGCAGATAGCTTCTCATCGATTTCGTGAGCGTCTTCACTGGACAAGTCCACGATTCTTGAACCGAGTATTAGGACAGGTCCACTGAGTTTCTGGAGAAGCTTTTGGAACAGGTTGTAAGTTCTCTGTGAGCGGAACAGAAGGTTCTCGATGTCTCGGAGATATAACACAATAGGATTCGCCTTGGAGACATAGTTCAAGACCTGCACTTGGATGTTATAAACAAATACTCATAACAACCTTAATGCATAGTATTATTATGATACATTACCTTGTATAAAGACTGGATTAGAAGCTTTTCGTCGAAGGACCAGCTACTAGTACGCTTCAGAGGCGCTGAAAAAATAGAATCAGATATTAGTTCATAATATATAGACTAAAGTTTTAATTTCATTGATGAGAAATAACCTGAGTTTGATGAAGAGGCAAGGTTGCTTATATTAGCTGCGGAAGAGTTTCGACGAAGCTTAGAAGGATTACTAGAGCCTTCCATTGGGCTGTATAGATGGATTGCACGTTAAACCATAAAATAGCACATTAGTTGTAGTTAGTGGCAAATATTAAAGTTCCTTGAAAATATGAAGAAGTGGGCACAGAAACACGACCTTGATTTGATATCCATACCACTGCTTTGTCTCCTCAAGGTACCACCAGCTATACAGAGTCATCAACGAACAATATCAATTACATTTGTTATGAAGGCAGGTTAATCACCAAGTCTATCATTGCCCGGTTAATTAAGCAGAGCTGGTTTGGGCATTTACCTTTGGGCTCTTCTCTCTGAGGAAGGATGGAGAAGGAACTAAACAGTCCTGATAGTTGCTCTAAAGCAGATTCTGAAGGGGATCTCTTAAACGACTAAACATAACCCACCAAAAAACGCATTTCAAATTTAGACCATACGCAAAAATGAATACTAGGAACACTAAGCAAACCAAATCACTAAACCGCTTACAGATGATTCTGAATTTCCGTTGCCATATTTGCTTTGTATCTGGAAACACAAAAAAGTAGATATAAGGTTCACAACAGAGGAAAACTCACATAAACAAACAGTGCTTAATATTATTGATTAGGGTTACAGCCAGGCACCTTAAGCGCAAAATCATTGACGTCTAGAAGAAGTAACTTGGCGTCAAAGAAATGAGCTAGGGCTTTGGCTAGCATTTGTTGGTAAAGCTCTGCAAAGAAACAGGTTATGCATTAAGGTTTGTTATGAGTATTATGTTTATAACATCCAAGTGCAGGTCTTGAACTATGTCTCCAAGGCGAATCCTATTGTGTTATATCTCCAAATCGGGAACTAACCGGCAGGACCGGACAAGAGGATGGCTCGGCTCGCGGGAGACAAGTTTCTAGTATACTTTGAAGCATCAAAGTGCTTCAAGTGGACATAAGCAGCACTTGTCAGAAGCACTCGTGTCTGTTCACTGCATAATCCCAAAAACATAGATGAACAAGACAAGACTACATATATTATGTCTGTATATGTTTCAGACATGGAGGGAAGGAATAATTCCAAACATCTAGGGGATAAAAATCACAGGATCTGACTGTTTGTTACACGTGTCAGAACAAGAAGACAATGAGGCCATCCCCGCCGTACATAAACACAAACTCACATGCTTCACTTTGATTTTTATCACTCCAACGAATATCTTATCCGTTTTTATCATAATCTGATTTTAATATTCTTAAAATATAAAACCTGTCATGACACTTTATTTCCTTTTATGATTTCTATACCCTCACTTGTATAGTTGTATTATCGTCTTGATGTTCGGAAAGGTCTACTATATTCACAAGAGTATTTTTAAAAAATGATCAGAAAATGAATAAATTAACAGTTTATAAAATTTACCTGAGATAATAAGGAAACTCATCGAAAGTAATTTTACTCTCTCTTCCGTCAACAACTTGACGGAGTATCTCCTTCTCCATCTTATCCGCCGTAACGGCGTTGCTTGACGTCGAATTACCGGAGGCCCATTTCCCAACGGCTTGGCCAGAAGCGAGGCCCAAACCCACACCGACTCCAACTCCGACGCCGAGCGCAGATAACAACATCTGTTTGCTATCCATTGATCTTCCAAAAAAAAAAAAGAATTCCAATAGCAAAATCTAACATCAGAGTATTAGTAAATAACATATATAGATGAAGATCTAAGCGATAAAAAAATATACTAAGTGTAACAATAATAAAATCATACAAGTACATATCCAAACCTAGTAAACACACAAACTTTTGAGTTACTTAACAAGAAAAAAATTTAAACCTTGTTGTAGAAGTTATCACAAAGGTCTTGTCTTCTGCAGTTTCTTTCTCTTACTTTATCTGGAAAACAGAAAACCTTCTAACTCGAAACATAAACCGCTTCAACTGTCTGAAAACCCACAGAAACGAATGTTACGACCGGATCTACTGACACGTCATCACCGGCGGTAGAAGGCGGCGGCGAATGAGATATTTATGGTTTTCTTAGAGGGATTTTTGGATCAATGTGTGTATTTTATGAGATGAGTGTATACATAACATATGAAAACTGATGACTCATTACGGAGACTTTGCTTACGTGTCCCTATATCAACGGCTACTAGGTTCGGTTTGGCAGTTTTTGATTCGATTTTGCCGTTTCTTACTTTAATACCCTTCTATTCCATTGCTTTTTCAACTTATTCCTCGGTAGTTTTATAAATTTCATTCTAACCCTATAAATGTATACTGTTCCAGTAAAATGTCTGTCAATTTTTCAATTCTGAATTCTATAACTACCATCTTAATGATCTTAGACAAGAAAGTTCAAAATATATTGCTTAAGTATTGTAAATAGGTGCAGTACAATGAGATTGTGATTTTATTTATGGATCCTTCCAATGTTTGAATATTTTGTGGGTATATATAAAAGAGATTTGGGCCAAAAACGAAAGCTGAATAAATTAAAATTTGGAAATAAAATGAAATAAATAAAATAGAAGAAGGCACAGAAACTAGTAGAAAGCATGACTGTTAGATCTGGAAGGCGTGGTTTATTATAAGCTGTTGGATTACAAAATAAGATCCACGTAAGGGGGGTACATTGATGGCTTAGATCGAAAGGTATGGTTTCTTCTATCTTCGCAGCATGTAAATTAATCTGAATAACAGATTTGCCATAAATAGAAAAAAATAAAATAGCCTCACGCGCAAAATATATAATGCGTGGATATCTATTGTCTATATTTGGAGTACTGAGTATCACTTGCCTTGTATGCGCGTTGTAAGTTGTAACTAAACTGTTCTTTATTGCTGTGACTGTAAGTGATAACAAACGGGCTTTTTGTTATGATCTAGAAAGGGAATCTAACCCATTTGAAGTAATCTATACAGGCTTTAAATATTCGTACGGGCAAATCTTCAATGTTGGTGTTAAATCCGTAATCGAATATTCGATTTAAAAGTTAAAGGTATAATTATAACAAAAGTCAGGATGGCCGAGTGGTCTAAGGCGCCAGACTCAAGTTCTGGTCTTCGAAAGAGGGCGTGGGTTCAAATCCCACTTCTGACATTTTCTTTTAGTATTTTGTCTCCCTTCCATACTAGGTACTTTTTACTCTTTCTGTTTATTTAGTTATATGAGAAAAGAAATCAGATTTCTATGCTAAAATAGTTTGGTCGGTTCATAAAAAAAAATTGGGTAAAAGTATTAACTAATACACTGAGAAGATCATTATTTACAAAACTCACAAATCATACAAGCTAAGTAGTAGAAAGACCTAAATTCAAAAGGAGAGATGTCACTGAAAGTCTGAAACGAGTTTGCAAGATGGAGCTTGAGTTTTCCGACTAAAGCAATATATATATGTGGGTCTGTCTGTGCTTCTTGAAACCATGGACCGTATAGATTATCTGAGCTCTTCAGGTTTATCTATATAACTCTCTTCATCTAATCATTTATATATTATTTTGTTCATAACTCGATATGCACGAATTAATTGTTTAGAGTGAATATTAAAATGATCTGAACACAAATAGAGAAGCGTGCAATCTGCAAACAAAGACATGACTTTTATTTTCATCATCATCATCATCATAAGATAGATTGTCTTGACAATTCACAATAACCCTTGCTTGAACCCATAAATTCAATATCTACAGGAAAATAAGACAAGAGAATAGAGACTTTGATCCCTTTTTTACTCTCTAAAACACAAATCTAAACTAAAACAAACACAAGACGCTTAATACTTTCACGAGCAGAAATTAAGACTGGATTCACACTGAAGACATTATTAACTTACATCCACCTCTTAGGCAGGTTGCTTGAGCCTGAGCCAGAGCCACCCTCTCTACCAGCTAACATCGCCATTATTAAACTTCCACCATGGACTCTTCCTTCTGGGGCCAACCCCAATCCTCTTTCATTCTCATTGAGGTCAATATCAGTCTCTGGAGATCCAACAGCGCTTCTACCTTTCATTGTATCCATGTTCACGTCTTGAGAACCACTGAACTCTTGCTCGTTCTCTGTTTCACTGTTCCCTAGTCTCGGTTCTTGGCTCTCTGAAGTTACAGTCATTCCTCCGTGAACCCTGTTATCCTCAACCAGACTGTTATGAAGTGCACACAGACCAGTCTTACCTCTAGCAAACGAAGTACAAGGACCAGAAGAAGATTGTCCTCCCGCATACTCAGTCTCAGGATGACCCCACGCACAACGCTTCCCTCCTCCATGCGCCTTGCAAAAGTCAGTACTACCTTGGGCGCTTTTCCCACATCCTTCAGACTTGCATCTCTTTCCTCCACCGTGCCTTACACAGAAATCAGTCCTTCCTCTAGCACTCTTTGTGCATTCAGGAACCGCACATCTCTTACCACCTCCATGAGCCACACAGAAATTAGTACCTCCATGAACACTCTTGGAGCAAGGTTCACCTTCTTGAAACGCGCATCGTTTACCTCCTCCATGTCCTTTGCAGAACGGTGTGCTTCCCTCCGCGCCTTTGGTACAACCTAACTGTGTGCACCGTTTCCCACCACCGTGTGCTTTGCAGAACATAGTGCTCCCTTGCGCTCCTTTCGTGCATCCATTAGACTGGCATCGACGACCACCTCCATGAGAGATGCAGAGTCCAGAAAGCCCTTCAGCGCTTTTCGTGCAGTTTTCTCTTTGGCATCTCTTTCCTCCACCATGTCTGATACAGAGCCCGGATCTTCCTCTAGCAGCTCGTGTGCAATCTTCATGGCTGCATCTTCTCCCACCTCCATGAGCTATACAGAAGTCAGTACGGCCTTCAGCGCTTTTGGTGCATCCTAGAAACTCACATCTTCGGCCGCCTCCATGGGCTTTACAGTACACAGTTCGACCTTCAGCGCCCTTGTGGCAACCATGTTTCTGGCATCTACGTCCACCACCGTGGGAAATGCAACGGCCTGACGCGCCTCTTGCTCCCTTATGACATCCTTCTACTTGACATAACTTGGAACTAGAAGAACTCTTATGCTGTGGCTTCAGCTGCTGAGATAAACCGGAGGTACATGTACCCGAGCTTATTGGTGTTGTTGTTGTTGCCGTGCTAGATGACAGGTCTAGAACATGAGGAGCAGGAATGATTATCTTCTTTGGAGCATGAGCTAGGAAGGAGCTTGTTTCTTTGCTTGATAAAGCTTGCAATGCTGGTGATGCCGATGCAAACCCTGGTCTCCAGCCACCTGATATGGATCCTTCATTAGTTGCACGTAGCATCTCCGCAAGAGTTGGAAAATGGCTCGCCTGCTGCTGCTGGACCGCAGTGATCTCAGAATGACATGAGCCTCCTACACCAGAAAGACTCAGTTCAAGATCAAACTCTGAGGAGGGGACCTGCAACTCTTTCATTTTCAGATTAGCTGGTTTATTGTTGCCAAGATGGAGGGTAAAGTCCAGCTCAATATCCATGGAGGAAGCCTCCTCAGTTTCTTTGGCAGCAGATAAACTCATGGAAGCAGTAGCTGAACTCACTTTGCTATCAGAAGAGCTTGATGAGTGACCAAGCCTCAAGGAGAGTAAAGGATCAGGTTCTTGAACCTTTGATCCATGGATCAGATTAAATTTCCTTTTAGTACCCTGTGAGTTAGATAGTGGAGAGGCAAGGGAATCAAGACGCAGAGTAGTATCAGCGGCGGCCTCTGTTTCTTGGACATGAAGGGAACGGCCCAAGATCTTAAATGAATTGAGTGAAGACTTAGCAGTAAAACCAGCGTTTTGGAATCTGGAATGCATGATTCACAACTTAAGATGAAGAAAACTTGTCAAAGCAAAGGAGGAGAAGCCAACAGCACAAACTTCCAAGGGGGTAAAAGAGAGAAAAAGCCACAGCAGTAGTAAAGAGTTAGAAGACTTTATAAGCATCTCCACCTCCGCTTACGAATCCTGAGGTATCACACCGATCCATTTCTAGTAAAAATTTCAAAACCAAATTTTGCAGCTGACTTAAATTCGCTTTCACTCAACCAAAAGTGAATTAATTCTCAACCTTGACCAAAGTAGTATTAAGGTAGTAGCTAACCATCCTTCTGCTTCATAACCAAAACAAAAAAAACGAATTAATGAACAAGTGAGTGTCAATTTTCTTGCAAGTAAACTAGAGAAAAAAAAAGTAGTGAGAAATTCAAGTGTTAACACAAGACAATAACTAAAAACGCTAACACATGAAAAAGAAAATAGCATAAATAAGACTGACAGAAAAAAAAAACAAGAAAGATGTTTTTTCATCAGAAATCAGATTTCAAAAGAGAAGTCTTTTAATTCGTTAATTAATCTCAGTGTTTATGAGACGAGAGATCTTAATAAAGCGGTTGTAAAATCAGATAATAAAGCAAAACAGAACCAAAACCAGAGCACCTCTAGAAAACTTAAGTCCTTCACCGACAGGAACTAACTTCATCGATTTCAGAGATTTGCTTAAAACACAAAACACAACAAAACATAATTTTTCTTCAATTTCCAAGACAACAGATCTCAGAGACTCATCTTTTTTCTCTCGGACAAAGAGAACTCAATTTCATCAAAACAAAACATGCAAAATCAACCGAAAACACAAAACAAAATAACGAATTGAAAGAAGAATTTGTGGAGGAAGTATTACCTCAATTCAACTCTTTTTTTGTGTGAATCTGATAAGAGAATTTCACGGCATCAAATGATTAATCAAAATCGCAATTCTCTCTCTCTCTTTCAACGAAATTAAAATACTATTCACCAATTCTCTTCGTCTTCTTCTTGTTTTGGGTTAGGGATTTACAGCGCCGGCGAGAGAGATTGAAAGAGATATATAAATAGAGGAGAAACCAAAGGGCAAAGGAGTGGTAATCATCGAATCTCAAAAATAAGAGGAGGAAATAAAACTGGGTACCAAGACTTATTTCCCCCACACGTGCCTTCCGAATCTTTGGCACGTGCTTCTTCCCTCATTCTCTGTTTTTTTCTTTTTCCTTGTTGAATTATTATTTTGATTCATTTAGATTAAAAAATCAATTAATTAATTGTTTGTAAACACAGCTAAAAAGATACTTAATTACCTGTCAATACATGATTTGGTTGTGTCCTCCACTTTCCTCCCATTTTTCCTGATTTCTCTTACTTTTTTTCCCAACCAATTTTTTTTATCTCAAATACTATCAACTAATTAATATATAAATACAGTTTGATTGCTTTTTTTAATCTGTAAAAATATCAACATATACTTTTTTTATGAAACGGAGAGACTATGTTATAATTTGTATGTAAAATTATATTTATTTACTATTGTATCCATTGTATTTAAATTAATAGAATGTAAAAAGGGTTTTTGGTAAATTGTTAAATATAAAACAAATTTTTTCCAACAAATTTGCATTTGATTCTTACAAAAAAATATTAATATGTGTAAAATATACAAACATTTTTTTAATTATTCCATCTATACACAATTTAATAAACGAAGTACTCATTTGAAAACAATTTCTTTTTTTTCTCATTTGAAAACAAATTTGTCGGATTTAAGTTGAACAATGTAATTAATAATAGATGGAGCTTCTCCAAAAAATTAAGAAAGATTAGTGTTGCTGGTAATGAATGAATCTTACTTAATTAGCGTATGACCAAATCAACAATCGGCGGTTGCTAGTGTCAGCATAATACAGTGCGTGGCGGCTGAAGCAGCAGCGGCTCGTCACCGTTCAATTTGGTTCTGTGATTATGAATCTGGGCCCTATTTGCCTCTTTGTGGGTCCCGTATGATTCCCTCGGGAATGTCTACGATCGATAACCTAATTTCCACGATTTTTTAATTTTAATTCTGAGACAACAATATCTAAAACCGACATCGTTTCTTTACTTTGCTATCGTTCATTGTCCTTATTAAGAAACCAAAGAAGGGTCCACGTCCGATCAAAGAGTGGTTCAGGTTGCACATGCAGGCACCTTAGATTTTGTTACTTTTTTTTATATAAAATAGATTACTCTTCTAGGTCAAATGTATAGATTCTCAATTCAACTCATATTGGCTGTTTACTCACTTCAGTTAAATCATGTTATCATCAACAGCATAACATGTTTAGATTTTGTTTTACCTATAAATACTTTGCAATTTTCTCAACATTAAATATAAGATTTTCATGATTTCTTTATAATTTTTTTCTTTTTCTTTCTGAATGTAATTTATTTTGTTTTGAAATAGAAAATTTGCATCTTATCTGTAGTTTTGAATATAGGTGGGAAAAGGTATTTATTTACATGCTTTTCTACAGTTTTCTTCCAATCCTTTTTAAAATAAACCTACATGTCATAAGAAAAGATACTCATTTGGGAGTGGAACTTATAAAGCGTGGAAAGCCTTTTCAAAAAAAAAAAAAAACTTAAAGCGTGTACATTATAACTTTTCATATGCTTTATTTCTGATCCACGATTATAATATTAAAATATACCTTTACACGAAGAATAATAAAAAGAATATGCTCAACCATGTTCGACTCCTTTATATTCTTTACTATCTCAAACACGTGTTATGTTTGGACGTATCTTTCAAAAACATAATACGATTATTAACTAAATTCGCAAATCTAACCACTAAAAGCAAATGCATCGATGCATATCAAACTGTAAATTCACAATAGAGTGCACAATAAACAATGCATATAAATTTACAAACATAAAAATGTATTTAAAATTCGCATACGAATAGGAGGAAAATAAATAATATTATTTCGTCACTTACGTAATGATCTCAGACACTGTCACAGCAGCAAACACGAGAAACAAAACTCCTCCGACATAAGCTATTGCCTGTTTTGAAGCAAAACAAACATTTAGCTTACCTTCCTCTTAAGAATTCTCTCTCACCCAAACACTTTTGAATAAAGATTTCAACTTTTGAGTCACTCCAAAAAGAAGTTTTGCAAATGTTTATTTATCAAAGGCCAAAAAAACATTGGGAGAGTTATGATAGTAGTAAAGGTTCTATATAAAATTACTAAAATATAATTCAAAATCTAAATTCTCAATCCAAAGTCTTCAAACTGAACTCTAACCTTCAAAACCAAACCTTGAACACCTAAATCGGTAACCTTGAAACCTATAAAACTGATCTACTTTGTTTTATTTTAGTTCAACACTCTTTTATATACTTTTTTGAAAGATTTGTTGGCGTTTAGCTTCTTTGTTTAGGAATATTATCACGTTGTTGACAGATTAAGCCGGACATAGGAAAGAATCAAAACAATAAAAAGATGTTATTTTGACTCTTTCTGGGGGAGGGGAGGAATCGATACCAAATGATGTGGAAGGATTGTGATCAATGAACATTGAAGTGTATTATTGTTGCCACTTGCCAAAGAATAAAAACCTTAATCTCTAACTTATTTCACTTTTCTTTCATATCAAGTGTAAAAAGAGATCCTTTGACTAAAACAAAACTCAAAAAGGTATTTTTTGGAACTAAAAACCCAAGGATAAAAGCTAGTAAATTGCCATTAGAATCTGTATTTTGTGTAATAAAAGCTGAATAATTCCAAGGATATGCTTTTAGTAACTAATACTATATGTAAAAAGAAAGTGATGGTAACATTTACCTTCTCTGACAAGAAGTTTCCTAGCAAAGAACCTCCCAAAACCGCAAGCTGCAATAAGGAAAAAAAAAAATCCAAGTAGCAAGTTAGGGTCCTTGTGTTCCAAGTTTCTGGAGAGTAACAGTTCTCCTCGTTGATGGCTTTTATAGCCTATAAATATTAAGATTTTAGGGTTTATAGATGCTTTTGATTAGCCTAGTTGTTAGGGCCGTAATATTACACATATAAGTTTATACACTTTTGTCAAAGAAAATGAGCTCACCAGGGTAGCAGCACCATGACCCGCCAATGCTCCGGCGATGACACCCAATGGCGATGAAGCAGCCGCAAGAGCTTCAGATAATTAAATTATTAGATACAGATTTGGAGTTTTGGAACTGAGCTTTTAAAGTTGGCCAATTATATATCTTGAAACTTTAAAGTCTCACCAATGGTTGAGAAGAAGGATTTATCACCCCATTCAGCAACAAAAACCAAAGCGAAAGTGCTGATGATGGTGTTGGCGGCTGCTGCTAACCCGGCTCCGTTACCTGAAAGCTCTGAAACCGCTAGTTCTGCCTGTAGAAAACAAGTATTGAGTTCTTGAAGGTTGCATGGAGATATAAGAGTCCAAAATGCTAAAAAGAGATTTTACTTCTTTCTGTTCCTCCTCGGCTTTAAGTCCATCGTCAGAGATAGCATCTGCTAACGTTGAAACACCAAAGTAAACCTAAATGCAACAACATTGGTTTAATACTATTTCATGTTCAAGAAGAAGCCTGTAAGATATGATCCAACCCAAAAAAAAACGGTCTGAGAAAAACAAACAAAATTTTCATTTGGCTTAGTCGAATCTGAGACTTAAACTATGAAAGGTGAATAATGATTTACCAGAAGACAAACTGCTGCAATATCATCTATAGGCAAATCGGTCTCACCAAACCTGTGTGTTTAAAGTCACTGACATTCAGATTCGTCATGAAACTTAAAACCTCAAATATAAAATTTGCGGGTGATTTTATTTCATTGATTCAAACCTGAAGGGAAGAACTTCATCGACATAGTGGAAAGTCCTTCCTAGCACTACAGATATTATCGTCATTATCCTGCAAAATCACCAAAAAATTTATAACGTACTGTAATGATTTCAAAGTAACAATTTTAGTTTCAGACATGATGCATTGTTTGAGAAAGAAAGCATACCCAAGAGCACCAAAAGTCCCAGCGAAAACAGTAGCAGCGTTGTTCCTTGCTGCTAAAAGGGCCTAAACAAACACATGATACGGTTCTCACAGTCAATTAATGAAAGGGAGTTTCAAACGCATATAATAGCATCTTACCGCAATGAAGAAAGTCTTGTCTCCAAGTTCAGAGAAAAAGATAAGCAAGAACGCCTGCAGAGAGACAAACATAGACAGAGCAAAAAGTAATTAATTTAAAAAGGACAGGCACTGAAGAAGACATAGTTCCTAGTTCAATGCAAAAGGGAGATTATCTAACCGAAGCAAAACCTGAGCTAATGTCTCCGAGGTCTCCAAGAGAAGTGACAAATGACTGCGGAATTTGAGAAACCGCAAAAGCTGGGCTAGTTCCGAGTAATGCAAGCGGAGTAGATACAGCCAAAAGCTTAAGAACTCTCTGTGTCGTCGTGTGAGCTACTATCGATGTCTCGACCAATAAATCAAGATTTCTATCTTTTTCTGCAGATTTCTGAACAAAACAAATGCATTAAACACACTCTCTACCTTAGTTAAACCTTCAAATGAACCCTAATCAAATTCAAGGTCTCTATACTAACCCCCTAGACTACCACATTAGGATACAAAGCAATTCAAGAATAGACTTGGTCTTAAAAGAATCCCTCTACCATGAAAAGGGATCGATCAAAGAAATTTAAAAAAAAAAAAAAAACAAGAATCAAAGTCACCTCATCATCGAGGTAACAAGACGCATTTCGTTGGAAGCATCTCCGAGACTCATTTCCACGCAATTGACTCAAACGTCTGCACAGAATTGTCAAAGACACTAAGTTCCGATCGCCATATCAAAATTGAACACTGGGATGGAACAAAACATACCTAGATAAGCATCGAACCGAGAACCCGACCCGGATGGGACAAAAGGAGACGCATCTCATCAAACATGAATCGAATTTGGGAGGTTTAGGGTTTGGGAATGGAAGGCGAATCGATATCGAACTTAGCATTTCTCTCTCTCACAGAGTTTTTTTGTGAGTTCAATCTATCTTCACAGACAGTGTGTGAATATTTGATTCTTTACTGGCAGAGAACAAAACCTCTGGCTCTCTTTGATTGTCTGAAGATAGTGAAAAAATCCACTCAAACTTGTCATGCGCGCGCCTCCACGTATTACCCCCATCGCTCGTGTGTCAATCGATTTATTCAAATTAACACCACACGTGTGTGCCGAGTTAGTAACCGGACGGATAACTTTATTTTGGCCCAAAATTGGCCCATTGTTTGATACGACTGGCATCGTCGGCCTGTTTTTAACGAAGTCAGCGGTGCGATAGAGAGAAAGAGTGAGAGATGGCGACGGCGTCGTTCAGGTGGATTTTGCAGCTACACAAAGATGTACCAAAAGCTGCTCGATTCTACGCTCAAGGTCTCGATTTCTCCGTCAATGTCGTCACTCTACGTTGGGCCGAGCTTCAGTCTGGTCCTCTCAAGCTAGCTCTTATGCAATCTCCAAGGTAATTAATTCAAATCTCGTGACCATTGCAGATCACCTGTTCGATGAATTGTCTCACTAAAACGTTTTTCCTCCTGAGGTTGTTTTTTTTTTTTTAATTTTATTGTCTTCAATTTACTGTAAAGCCTGTCTAATGAAACAGTTTGATCATATAGTGTCCAATCATCGCAAAAGCTAAAAAGGTTTAATGTTTTTATTGCAGCGACCATGTGGTGAGTGAGAAGGGATATTCTTCTTTACTATCGTTCACTGTGAAAGATATTAACACATCAGTCTCTAAACTTATGGAGTTAGGAGGCGAACTCGATGGCGCTATCAAGTACGAAGTCCATGGCAAGGTAAAAGCAAGCAGAGCAACAATCTTCTTTCTTTTTTTTTCTTTTTTTTTCCTCTCGATTCCCTGCCTATGCTTAAATCTCATATTCATTGTTAAACAGGTTGCATCAGTGAGATGTCCCGATGGTCATGTACTCGGCCTCTATGAACCATCTTAGGTTTTATCATTTTCATTAGTTTCCCATTGTTCGGATGATTCTTAACCAGACAAATACTAGAGTAAAACAAGAATCAACTGTAGTGCATTTCTTATTTTTGAAGTTCCGGCTCTTCTCCAAGAGCTCTTAGCTCTAAGAAGATTCATCATCCCTTGAGCATAACTTCAGATCTTAGGGCAACATTATTGCAATGTCTGTTGTCATTGTTTCTTAGCACACATATATATGTATGGGGAAAATCGCATAAAAAACCTTCAAAGTGAAACTTACAATCACTTTAAACTTTGAAGTTTTTTCACTAGCACTTTAAACCATTAAAGTGACATTTGTGTCACAAAAAACCTTGAACTAGAAAATCTGACCTGTTGAACAGGTAAAATAGGTAATTTATTAGTTCTTTTTTAAATAAAAATTTAATCAATAATTAAAAAATTAATTAAATTTTCAAAAAAAAAAAAAAAAATCAGAACACAAAGAAAAATTTATAAAAAAAAATAATTTGAAATACCAAAAAGTAAATAAAATTCCGAAAATTAAAACCAAATTAAAGAAAATTCAAAAATTGAACAAAAAATAAACAAAAATCAAATACTAAATTAAATTTTCAAAAAATTAAAGAAAATTTCTGAGCATAAAGAAAAATTTAAAAAAAAATTGAAAACTGTTTGAAACCATCATCGTCAATAGTGATATATTTGAAATTTTTATTCTCAACTATAATATTTCAGATTTTTTAAAAATAAAATGTTGTATTTTTTATAAAATTTTCCAATAAAATTGACATATCATCGTTGAAAATAAAAATTTCAAACATAGCACTGTTGAAGTTCATGGTTTCAAATAGTTAAAAACATAATCTTGTAATTTTCTAAAAATTATTTTGAAATATTGAGTTTTCAATTTTGTGAATTTTGTTTTTTTTAATTTTCTGAATTTAACTTAATTTTTAATATTTCAATTTCTTTTTCTTTTTATAAATTTTTCTTTCTGTTCTGAAATTTTCTTTAACTTTTTTGAAAATTAAATTGATTTTGATTTATGTTTTTGCTTATTTATTATATTAATATTTATTAATTATTATTTCTCGGAAAAACCTAATAAGTAAAATAGGTAATTTATTAAATATATATTTTTAAAAATTTTCTTTATGTTCTGATTTTTTATTTATTTTTGTGGAAATGTAATTTAGTTTTCGATTTTTATTTATTTTTTGTTCAATTTGTGAATTTTCTTTAATTCTTTAAAAAAATTAGAATTTTATTTAATTTTTGGTATTTCAAATTATTTTTTTATAAATTTTTCTTTATGTTCTGATTTTTTTATTTTTTTGAAAAATTTAATTAATTTTTTTATTATTGATTAAATTTTTATTTTAAAAAACTGATAAATGACATGTTTTACCTGTTCAACAGGTCAGATTTTCTAGTTCAAGGTTTTTTGTAACACAAATGTCACTTTAAAGGTTTAAAGTGCTAGTGAAAAAACTTCAAGGTTTAAAGTGATAGTAAATTTCACTTTGAAGGTTTTTTATGTGATTTTCCCTATATGTATGTATATATTATATATGCATATATAATTGTTGGTTGAGGACTTTACGGGAACCGAGACAGAAAATCTCTTAATTAAGGACTTTTCTGTCTTGGTTCCCGTAAAGTCTTTAACCAACAATTATATACGCATATATAATATATACAGACACATATATGTGTATTAAGAAACAATGACAAGAGACATTGCAATAATGTTGCTCTTAGATGCTTATAAAGCTTGATCTAATCATATCTTAATGTTTTGTTTGTTGTTTTTAGGCAAATGGACTAGTGCAAAAATTGCATACCATAACATTTTGTTCTCTTTTTTTTTGACATGCTACAATATCATAACCAAAATAACAAATTACATGGAATATATATATATTCCACAAAACATACATTGTTAACAACATGAAACTGGAAAAGTGTCTTTTCTATAACTTTATCCATCTTCATATAGACCCGGCTCAGAGTACATGCCAATAAGCCATTGTCTAGGGCCCAAACAAAATTTTGATCTTTTTAGGCTTAGATAAAAAAAAAAATTTATAAAAAAAAAATGACCCATTTTCCAAATTGGAATAGGCCCCCTACTGGGTTGGGCCGACCCTATCTTCATGACCCATTTTTTTATCTTATTAAAGATCTTTGAATGCGATATATCTATTACATCGCAATATATCCCTCCCAAGCGATAATATATGTAGCTGTAGTTGTTGCTCATGTATAGAATAGACTTTCGGTTTGACTTTGTTTACGGTTAAATTTACTCAGATTCGATACGGCTCTTCCTTCATCTTCAAGTAATCATATAACGGTGGCTTTCAAGGTCGGTGAAACATCCCCAACAAATACTTTTGGATTTGTTCCAAACATCGGAAAACCACCAAAAAAGTATGATGGCTACCATATTTTTTGAACAAAGTAAATAACAACACTGTCCGTGATAACCGCCAAGAAAATAAACACCGTTTGAGTTCTACTCTAATTTACCCAAAAAATGATGGTTGTCATCGTACATTTATTAAAAAGAGAAAGTAAGAAAAAATATCACAAACTAAAGATTGATAAACATGAAAAGCTTGCAGAAAACAAATAGGTAACTAAAATCTAAAGAACCACCAGCACAAGCCGGTAGTCGTCCGCAATCATCATGAAGATAAAGTAAAGGTGTACTCAGTTCCCTGTGCTTGTAACTGCTTTGTGGTTGTGGTTGTGCTTATGGTTGTGGCCCATCACAATGCCAAAAGAAAAAATGAGAAAATCTCACAAAAATACATAATTTCGTTTAGTTTTTTTTGCTATCCGATTCAATACTCAAAATAATTATTTTGCTCATATTTAATGTACTTATTGTGCTTACTTTAATACCCAGATTATGATAACTTTTAAACTTAATAAATGTCTAAAATAAAATATAACTTAATAAATGTCTAAAATAAAATAAAATCCTTAAAACTTAAGAAATTATTTTAAATTTAAATAATTAAAGTAAATAAATTTTCGGGAGTACTGTAAAATTTAGAAAAAAATAATTATGAATAAAATAAATAAATTATTGTAAAATTCAAAAGCAAACTAAATTTAAAATTAAAACTAAAACTAATATTATAAGAACGTAAGATCATCCTAAGTTAACTTTTATTCTTATAAGTTAAAATAAATTTTGAAAATTTTAAGAGTTTTTTTGAATTTTAGAGTTTTTTAAGTTTTGTTTGAAACTTATTATTAAAATGAGTAGATTTTGAGTATTAAATGAGCACTGTTTCAAAAGTAAGTGTATTAATATGAGCAAAATAATTAATTTTATTATTAAATTGGGTAACAAAAAAATTTTAGATATTAAAAAGGTTAACGAAATATAGTTGAAAATCATTAACATCTGATTCTTCTAAGAAAATATTCAATAAGTGGTTAGGATTAACTAATCTTTAAATCATGTTTAAGATTTCAGATAATCTTTCTTATCACAAAATGATTCACTCTTTATATGTATATGGTAGCGTTCATGTCTTTTTAGAACGACTTGGTAGCTCTCATTAGGCTTGGGATTTATTATCGATCCGGATTCGATTCGAGATCTGAGTTGAGATCTGATAAGTTCAATAAATAAGTTTGTATGCAAATAATAAAATGTTTGATATGTCAAAACCGACTCCGGATATCTTTATTTTTTAATCCGGATATCTAGATCCGTAATTTTTATTGATAATTATTTCAAAACAGTAATATATATATATATATAAACTAACTTTATTTATTATATTTAATTTTTATAATATATAGTTTATGTAATATTAATAGTATACATAGAAATAGTTAAAACAATTATGTATACTTTTATTTTATAATTATTATTAATATTTTATATACTTCAATATTAATTTTATTTATTTAAGGATCTAGATCCAAATCCGAATATCCACCGGATATTAAAATTTTTAGAAGGATATCTACATCCGGATACCCGAGAATTCCGAATCTGGATATGGATAATAAAAATATTAATTCGTCGGATAAGGATCTGAATACTTTAAAATACCATGAATACCTGATCCGTCTCAGGCATAATGCTCGCGTTAGAATATGGACTATACTCTTACATTGTTAAGCCATACATGATGAAAATACTTTTAATATATTGTATGAAATTTTTAGCTAATTATATTAATTATCTAAATGTTCTGAACATCAAAAATCTATGTGAAATTTCATTTAAGAAAATTTTACATAGACTTTTCAACATTTTTAAAAGATTCTTTAACTAAACATTAATATAATTGGTAAGAACATGTTAAGATATTTCAATAAAAATGTTCTAATCTCTTTAAAAATTCAATGATTATACATCAATCTATTATTAGTCTTTTGGCAATGCTTGTTCAAATATACTTCCTCTCTATCATTAAGATTAATGTTTGGATTTTCACAGATATTAAAAAAATTGTTGAAATATCTATTTAGACCTTTTATCATTATTACTAAAAGAAATAAAAATAACAAAGATATATAAATAAAAAAAAGTGATAAACTAATTTCGTCATTATTTTGTTTTCATGTGTTAAATCAGGTTTCCATATTTAAGATCCCCGTATTTCAAAAAAAAACAAATCCCCATATTTCATATTTAGTGTGGTCAACATTCCACTAATGAAACTTTATATTTTCTTGAGTTATTAATTCACGTATATAATGTGAACTTGTTTTAAGAAAAATAATTTTGGATTCAAAAGTTTTAAAACTCATAAATTTTACTCACTCCGTTTCATTTTAATTGTCATTCTACGTTTTTGCACACAGATTAAGGAAACATTTAATTTTACATATATTCAAGAAAAAAACATAATTACCTATACACCTAATAACTTTTCAACCAATAGAAAAAAATAATATCATATAAAACTAATAAATTTTGTCTCGAAACTCTAAAACGACACTTATTTTGAAACGATTTTTTTTCTCCAGAATGACAATTAATTCGAAACGGAGGGAGTATATAGAAAAAATGTTTTTTATGGGATTACTAGAAATAAATTTTTTATAGAAAACGATTAGAGCTATTACATAGATATAATAATCATGTAGTCTATTTGACTTCACTTTAAACTAATCATTATAGTGTTGAATAAAATTTATTTTTGTGTACACTATTAATAGTTGTAAATTATTTTATTCTAAATCATAATAATAATAAGTGAGGACAAAACATGCATCTGTATGATGTATGTGTGTACTTGACCAAAAGGTCCTTGTGTGTACTTGACCAAAAGGTCCTTGATTAAACGAAAGAAGATATCGTGTGTACTTATGATATAAAAAGAAAGTAATTGTATAATATCTATGGACCAACATGAGACGTCGGATATGAACTAAATGAATATGATCTAACAATTAAGTAAATATGTGTACATATTTATTTATTTTCAGAGACATGCTTTACAAATATGAAAAAAAAATCGCCATTGGAGGTCCTTCGAGATCTCTGTTCACCGCCATTGAAGTTGTGGCGTTGATGAAGTTTTGGCATCGATGATGGAGGTCCTCACCATTGAAGCTCAACAGAACGAGGCCACGCCGGAAAAATGCTTAACCGATTGGCGGAGATAGACTATTTCCATTTTACTCCGAGAAGCTCTGTCACTTTGGATCTGAGGTCATGCAACAGCTCCGATGATCATTATCGATCTTCAAGTTTCTCACAAACTTCAAAGCCACGAAACTCAAAGGATTCATGAAGAAGGCAAGCTCTCTTCCTCCTCCCAAAAATTCAAAGGCTTAAGTAGAGTTCAGTTCTCAGATCTTCTCCTGCCTCCAGACCCTTTACTTGTGGACGATGGAAACATAGGGAAGAGAAGTGTGGACATGATTGTTGTGGATATATTATGTGTGGACTAGAGAGACATAGGAAGGAGAATAGACATAATTATTGTGGTCGGATGAATGTGGATGATGGAGTAATGGACATAGGGGCTGTGGTCATTGAAGTTTGCTGGAAATTTTGGTTGTGGTCAGTGGAAACGTGGATGGGTGAAACTATGATATGTGTTTTTTGGATTGGGATTCGGGTGTCCTTTCCATCCTCTGCAAATTTATGTACAAAGAATCGAAATGTAAAAAGAGAAATTAAGCAAATTCAGAAAGATAACTTTGATAGATTGTTGGTGAAACCCAATGGAGGAAGAGATAACAGCGAGTTCAATAGATTGAATTTTGAATGCGATAAACTGAATTTTGAATCTGAGTCTGGAAACTGATAGTCTGTGATCTTGTGTCTCGTGGAAGATGGAGTCCTGAACTTTGTGTTTGTGCTCAGTGGGAGCGTGGATGGGTAAAGTAACAAGGGTTCTGTCGAACAATGAGGACAATTGATTGAAGACCTAAACACTCGATTTAATGTTCTCTATCCAAGCTTTGATTTGAGCTCAATCCAACTCTGATTTTCCGGATTGAGAAGACTTGGACAAAGGAGATGGCTCACGCGGTGGTCGTGGCTGACGGAGATGAGGTGGAACAACGAGATGAAAATTCGATGCAGTCACGGAGATGTTGTTGCAGGAGAGGAACGAGAAGTCGGAGGAAACTCATCTTCTTCTTAAGATGTGATAGTTAATCGGTTCACAAAAGTGTAGTTGCAGAGGAGAACGTCGTCACGAGATTTAAGATTGTGAATCTCTATACTTTGAAAATGGTTAAACTTAAAAGAAAAATATATGATATATATTGATTATGATAAAAAACTGTAGAATTTATTGAGAACTGAGAGAATGAACGACAAAGACAAATAACCTTAAAACAAAAATAATTGGAACACATGGTTAGAACTTAGAAGGATAAAATAGACAAATCAACACAGAAAGTGTGTCTCCAGCATAATGTGTCTCTTAGTGTAATTGAGAACTCATATTGTGTCTCTCAATGTAATTATTTCAAGTATTCATCTAGCCTTCATAACACATACACATGTATTTACCCTTAGGTCCATGACAAGAACCACCCATAAAACCTTTTGTCTTACAGTAGCTATAACATTTGGCTTTTTTGTCTACCCCATTTGGATCCGGACACTTTTTTCCAGTTGGATTTAGTGCTGCTTCTCCCGATCCTATCCAATATTTTAAGAAGAAAATAAATTAGAGTCTTATCAAATAAAATAAAAAGTAACAAAAAATTATATTTTTACAAATGAGAAACACACAAGCTTTTGAATATATTTTTTCCAAATGAAAATAAATAATTATAAAAATGAGAAACAATTCATTATAAAAAATCTTAATGAAAACGTATCAAAGAGAAAATATGTCTTAGAAATTGATCACCTGAGGATAAAAGAACACAGAGGCAAAGAACCAAGAAGAAGGAGATTTTGTTAGTTGCCATTTTCTTGTTTGAAATGTATTGGATTTCGTTTGTTTTTATAAAGGATATATCTTTCTGTACTTATAACAAAATCGATATATCTAAAAATAACATTGGGGAAAAGGTCAAAAATAAAAGAAATTACCCGTTCTTCTACGAGGCTAGTGCTTCGGCCATTTATGAAACTAATTTGTGATATTTTTTCTCTTTTGATTTTTTTCAGTCTTTTGATCTTTTGCTGTAGGAATATCTTTTTTTTTTTCATTTTTTCTCATTTAATTTCTACAGCTACATTAGATACAGCTACATTCAAAATTTCTAGAGACTAATTTCTACAGTAAAATTTCTACAGTTATAGTCCAACCAATCGCCCCCAATGTGTTAATGTTACTTTCAGTTTTTTATTTAACGACATCTGAATATTATTAATTCGAAACCAAGGAATCCATGTGAAGTTGAGAAACAATACATGATGATACAAAATAATGACTAATAAATGTTGGTTTAAGCTTGAAGAATAAAAAGGAAGCTTGAGTCACAAGATAAAGCCTAATCTACTGAGATATGGATAAATAGGAAACACAAGTTATTTAGGAGTTATCTAATTGTGTTGTCTTATAAGATTAGGAATTATCTGTAACACCCTATATAAGTAGATGTCGAGCTCATGGCATAAACTAAGGGGAATTTGTGTTGTTTGAGAACTTGAGTTTTGAGATATTTTCTCAGGTTAATAAGAAGAGAGTTGTTGTTACTTGCATCTTTGTTTTCAATATTTGGTATCAGAGCCAAGGTCACGAGTTATGGGAGACCTTCAGATAACAACTATGGCGAAAACAAAAGGAGAAGCTTCATCGATCAAGTGTCCGATGTTGAATCCAACGAACTATACTGTATGGGCTATTAGGATGAAATCTCTGCTTAAGGTCCACAAAGCATGGGGAGTTGTTGAGACAGCAACAGAAGACATAGAGAAGAATGACATGGCA